TATTTTTAATAGAGACAGAGTTTCACCATGCTGGCCAGGCTGGTCTCAAACTCCTGAGCTCAAGTGATCCACCCACCGTGGCCTCCTGAAGTGCTGGGATTACAGGCTTAGCCACCGCGCCCAGACCCATATTTGCAACTCTCTCTAGGAAAAACATACGCTAAGGAAGGTCACCAGGACCTGGAGAGAGAATAACGTACAGGAGGGAATCATCTGAAACTCTATTCTTTAGTCTGTAGCCAAAATTAGAGGTTGAGGGTTGTGGAAGGAAGAACAACGCATTGTTGGTATCAAAATAATAGGGCAGTCAGTGACGGCCAGAAAATACTTGCTTTTGTTCACTAAAGAGAAAAAAGAAAATAGCATAGTTGGAGGGACTGCACTTACTTTAATAAGTTTGGATATCTTTTCAATGTGAGAAATAAAGGACTGACTGGAACGCAGTCCTTTTAAACATGACTGTTAGAATATTTGTATCAGGAACAAATTATTTTCCTTCTTGTGTTTTGGGCAGGAAGAAAAAAGAGAGGAGAGAAAAGAGAGAAAGAAAGAGAAAAAGAGAGAGAGAAAAAAAGTAAGAAAGAAAGAAAAAGAAAGAAAGAAAGAAAGAAAGAAATGAAAGAAAGAAAGAAATGAAAGAAAGAACAGATTATCTAATGAAAATTTTGGTATAAGCACCATTCCTACCCTACCAGCCTCTCTTCCAGTTCCCAGGCCTTATTCTGCAAGTCGGAGAAATGATGTGTGGAGACAGGAGATGCACCAATGGCTAGAAAACCTGCTCAGATGGAAAAAGGAGTAGACCCAGGAAAGAGGAAAAAAGTTTTGAGGAATTCTTGTTAGGAGTTATGGAGAGGATTCTCAATGGAGAAGTGAGTGCATGAATAAAGGAGAAGTTGTTTTTAAAAGAGATATGGCTAGGTGCAGTGGCTCATGGCAGTAATCTCAGTGCTTTGAGAGGCTGGGACAGGAGGATTACTTGAAGCCAGGAGTTCAAGACCAGCCTGGGCAACAAAGTGACACCCCGTCTCTACAAAAAATTTTAAAAATTAGCCAGGTGTGGTGGTGCGTGACTGTAGTCCCAGCTACTTGGAAGGCTGAGGCAGGAAGATTGCTTGAGGCCAGGAGTTCAAGGCTGCAGTGAGCTATGATGGCGCCACTGCACTCCAGCCTGAGTGATGGAGCAGGACCCTGTTTTGCATAATCATCATCATCATAATGAGATGCCATATGGACAGGATTCACAACTGAGAAGTGAGAGAGAGAAAAAGAAAAATGAAGATCTGAAAAGAGGTGCCATAGCACCATTCTCTTTGAGTTGCTGGGAGATAATTAAGTTGATTTATTTCAACTTGCCTGTTGGACTCAAATATAGCACTATACAGAGATTAGGCAACCGTGGCCCTCAGGCATTTTCAGGTTACATTTACTGTATCATGTCTCAGCTTCTGTGCTAAGCAATTGGGATGCAAAGATGAATTAACATAGTACCTGGCCCCAAGCTGCTTAGGAGAAGGGCAGATATGAAGATGATGCTAAACGCTATGATGCTGTGACAGTCCATGAGCATGAGGGGGACACAGGAGCAGTCTGGGGAGTCCTAAAGAGGAGGGCAAATAGGTAGTGGGGGAACGGTTTTGGATTTTTACAGGGCTGCTCACCTCCAAGCTGAGATGTCTGGATAAGCACTTCAGAACTTGAGCCATGCTGGCTGTGGCCCGTTCCCGCTCATGGTCTTTGACTGACTGTAACCAGGGGTCCATGTGCTGTGAGAAATAAAAGGAGGCTAACTGGTTTATCAGGAAGATTTGGGGTACCATCTTTATTGTGTTTAGAAAAAAATGCAGAGAGAGAAGCTCCAAGCTGCTACCAGGTCTGAAAATACTTTGCTAAATACTATTATAGCTCGAGTTGGAAATGAAAGTGGTAGAATGATAAGCAAGGCACAAAGACCTAGGCAGTAGGTGATTTGGCTGCTACATAGGAGCTTCTTTTCTTTTTTTGAGATGGAGTCTTGCTCTGTGGCCCAGGATGGAGTGCAATGGTGCAATCTCAGCTCACTGCAACCTCAGCCTCCCGGGTTCTTCTCTTACCTCAGCCTCCTGAGTAGCCAGGACTACAGGCACCTACCACCATGCCTGCTAATTTCTGTATTTTTGTGAAGAGGGGATTTTACCATGTTGGCCAGGCTGATCTCAAACTCCTGACCTCAGGTGATCCATCCACCTTGGCCTCCCAAAGTGCTGGGATTACAGGCGTGAGCCATTGCACCTGGCCAGAGCTTATTTTCCCTTCAGCCCAATTCTTCAATTAATTTTTCTGTACTTCTGAATGGTTTTAGCCCTTTCAAATCTGCCTTAAAAAGAAATAAATTTAACAACATACTATTAATATTGAAGAATTATGAGAATAGCCAGGTGTGGTTGCTCATGCCTGTAATCCCAGCACTTTGGGAGGAATTACAGATTGCTTAAGCCCAGGAGTTGGAGACCAGCCTGGGTAACGTGGTGAAACCCCATCTTTACAAAAAAATCCAAAAATTAGCTGGGCATGGTGGCGTGCACCTGTAGTCCCAGCTGCTCGGGAGGCTGAGGTGGGACGATTGCTTGAGCCTGGGAGGTGGAGATTACAGTGAGCTGAGATCGTGCCACTGTACTCCAGCCTGGTGACAGAGTGAGACCCTGTCTCAAAAAAAGAAAGGCTTGAATTAAGCTATGAAGGCAGGAAAGTACAAAGTACAACTGAATAAAGAGGAGAAACCCAATCTGGCTGGTATGCTAATGTACAAATAGAAGAGGAATGAGAAATAGTAGTAAGGTCAGTTAGGACAAGAATAAATGCCCATCAGAGCATTTATTATTTGTTATTATTTATCATTTTTCCCTTCATCCCAATTCTTTAATTAATTATTCTGTACAGAAGCACAGAAAATGAGCTAGAAAATAAGCTCCTGGGCTGGATGCAGTGGCTCATGCCTGTAATCCCAGCACTTTGGGAGGCTGAGGCAGGTGAATCAAGAGGTCAGGAGTTCAAGACCAGCCTGACCAACATGGTGAAACCCTGTCTCTACTAAAAATACAAAATTAGCTGGGCGCAGCAGTGCACGCCTGTAATCCCAGCTACTCAGGAGGCTGATTCAGGAGAATTGCTTGAACCCAGGAGGTGGAGGTTGCAGTGAGCTGAGATTGCGCCACCGCACTCCAGCCTGGATGACAAAGCGAGACTCCAAAAAAAAAAAAAAAAAAAAAAAAAAAAAAAAAAAAAAAAAAAAAAAAAAAAAAAAAAAAAAAAAGGAAGAAAGAGAGAAAGAAAAGAAGCTCCTTTAGCAGCCAAACCACCCGACTGCCTAAGTCTTTGCGTCTTGCTTGTCAGTTAGGACAAGAATAAATGGATCATAGGGTGCAGATGATTAATAATAGCTTAAAGGGTTATCCCTTTCTGGGATATTTGCACCTTAAAAAAGGGTAAGAAAAATAAAAGTAAAATAACAACAACAACACCAAAAAAGGGCAAGAGAGCAAGATACCTGAACCGCAGTGAAGGAATTCCAACGAATAAATCTCTAGTGATGGAATGGCATATACAGAATCAGGTGCAGGTCAGAGAAGTTGGTTATTATGACCTTTGAGTATCATCTGGTAGGAAGCTGCTTATTTACTAACTCTTTTTTTTTCATTTGTTTTTGAGAAGAAGCCTTGCACTGTCACCCAGGGTGGAGTGCAGTGGCACAATCTTGGCTCACTGCGACCTCCGCCTACCGGGTTCAAGTGATTCTCCTGCCTCAGCCTCCCAAGTACCTGAGACTACAGGCATGTACCACCACGCCTGGCTAATTTTGCCTTTTTAGTAGAGACAGGGTTTCACCATGTTAGCCAGGCTGGTCTCGAACACCTGACCTCAAATGATTCACCCGCCTTGGCCTCCCAAAGTGCTGAGATTACAGGCATGAGTCACTGCATCCGGCCTTAGTAACTCTTGAGGCTGACTCTTCCCTCATCACTGAATAAAACCCTTCTATATTAGTAAGGAATAATACTGTTAAAATTTTTTTTGATACAGAGTCTCTGTCACCCAGGCTGGAGTGCAGTGGTGCAATTGCTGCTTACTGCAACCTCCGCCTCCCAGGTTCAAGTGATTCTCATGCCTCAGCCTCCCGAGTAGCTGGGATTACAGGTGGGCATCACCATGCCTGGCTAATTTTTGTATTTTTTTTAAGTAGAGTCAGGGTTTTGCCATGTTGGTGAGGCTCGTCTTGAGCTCCTGGCCTCAAATGAGTCACCCGCCTTGGCTTCCCAAGGCAGAGGTGGGAAGATAACTTGAGGCCAAGAGTTTGAGTCTGCAGGGAGCTATGATGATGCCACTGCACTTCAGTCTGGGCAACAGAGCAAGACCCTGTCTCTGAAAATAAATAAATAAACAATTGAAGGCCGTTTATTCAGTATTCTCAGTAATTATTATCTCCATGTAAACGTGAAGAAATGTGACTCTGAGAGAGCAAATTCCTTGCAGAATTTCTAGCAGAACTTATAACCAATGAATGGCAGAGTCAGAATTTGAACCCAAGCCTCTGACTCAAAGTTGATAGCCGATACTCTTTACTACATTGCCTCTTACAACTGAGTCCTTCCACACTTTCATCTCCCACTTTCACCAGTTAATAGAATTTCTCATTCTCCCTTGATATCTTGTTTACCTTAATAATGGTGTCAAGATTTTCCAAATGTGGGTCTTTTACCACCAAACTCTGGAGCATCTCAAAGAATGCCTGAAACGTCTCCCTGTAAAGACACTGAGAAGGCACAGGATCAGCGATGCTCCCCCATCTCATGTGAAGTTCCCCTAGCATGGGATGCTTTGGAGGCTCTTCTGATCCTAAGACTTTACTCAAAGTTGCAGAACCAGTGTAAACGTACTGGTAGAGAGTTTGCGGCATGAGATAAAAGGAATACATCTTCATTTCAAATGGATGCCTTGGCATTAGAGGGATCACAGCTGACTGAGTCTTACTACATCTGGGAAATTGCTTAAGAGTCATTATCAAGATTCTTTTATTTTTTATTTTTTGAGATGGAGTCTCACTCTGTCGCCCAGGCTGGAGTGCAGTGGTGCGATCTCGGCTCACCGCAACCTCCGCATCCTGGGTTCAGGCAATTCTCCTGCCTCAGCCTCCTGAGTAGCTGGGATTACAGGCATGCGCCACCATGCCCAGCTAATTTTTGTATTTTTAGTAGAGACGGGGTTTCACCATGTTGACCAGGATGGTCTCGATCTCTTGACCTCGTGATCCACCCGCCTCGGCCTCCCAAAGTGCTGGGATTACAGGCTTGAGCCACCGCGCCCGGCATTTTTTTGTATTTTTAGTAGAGATGGGGTTTCACCATGTTAGCCAGGATGGTCTCAATCTCCCGACCTCGTGATCTGCCCGCCTCGGCCTCTCAAAGTGCTGGGATTATAGGCATGAGCCACTGCGCCCAGCCAAGATTCTTTAAAGTTGACTTGTGACTCTTTCTGACATCTTGAAACAGAGGGCAATAGAGTCCTCTTGTGTAACTGCTTTACCAACCAGTTTCTTAGCCACTGAAGAAGAGATCAAGGCCTGTGTGTACTCTTCCCTCTGCTTGAAAGCTTTCTCTCCAGATACACCACAAACCTTCTCTCTTCTTTCAGTTATCACCCCATCATGAAGGCTTTACCCGACCACCCATGCGCCTCCCAACCACAGGGCTCTCTATCCTGCTCTTCCCCTGCTTTATTTTTTTCATAACACTTATTATCAGCTGACATTTTATATTTATGTATCAACAGTTTGTCTCTCTGCACTAGAATGTAAGCTCCTTGAGTGGGACTGTGCTGCTGTATTACCACTTCTTATCACGTTTGGCATATGGTGACCCTTAAATAAATGTTAAGCATACAAATGAGTGCTCCCACCTTATTTTAAAGCCAAAAGGAAGGAAAGAATAGATGAACAAGGAAAGAAGACAAAATGAAGACTTGAAAGAAGCTATCTTCTAATTTAACCACCTATTTTATTCACCAGACTTGGCTTACGGTTTTTGACTAGTTTCAAAAAATCAAATGCACTCTCAAAAGGCCAAGATCAGCTGACCCTGTGGATGGAAAGTGGCTAAAGCAAAGCGTGAGTTACCTCTGTGTTGCAGGTCCCATTGGGCACGATTTCCCGCATCTGGGTAAGAGTCCTTACAGAGGGCAGAGTGATTATACTCCTGGTGATAAGACTGAACAACTCGGCTCGATCTTCAGAGCCAGACAGCAAATGGACATCTTGGTAACTAAGAAAAGACAGTTTGGTAACAGCCAGCTGGGAAGATGGTTTGATTTGATATTGATAAGCACAGAGCAATGGAACTAAAAAGGAAAGGGAAGACAGGCCAGTGCACTGTTCTGTTGGGAGAGATAAATGGCATGGCTTGTCGGTCTGTTCAGATAAATCTTGCAAAAGGTTAGAGGAAGAGTTTCCCCCCAAGTAGTTACTGGAGTAATATCGTTGCAGGGCTCCCTTCAGTTCAACCACAGAGGGAAGCCTACTACAGCCTAGTGTGGTAAGCCACAATTTTCCAAAGCATATTCTGCTGAATGTTCATTTGGGGAATCATGGGTTGAATCTAGTTAAAAAACTTTTTAACTGCAAGACTTCTCAGGACCATTGATCAGCTTAATCACTGTAACACAAATCTCTGACAGGTAAACAGCAGGCAGCCCTTCTAAATTTCTTACAAGTCAGAACTCTAAAGTCATATGGCATATATGGGAGTAACTTCCTACCAAATATACTTGGGACAAAACTCAACTCTAAAGAGATTCTAGCAAGGGTTTTCAGATATGGATAGTAGCATATGTGAAATCAAAGTGCTTATGCAAAAACATGGATTTGGCTCTGCTTTTCTAAATAAACCGTTTTCAAAAATTAAAAATATGGATCATGGCCGGGCATGGTGGCTCACATCTGAAATCCCAGCCCTTTGGGAAGCCGAGGCGGGTGGATCACCTGAGGTCAGGAATTCAAGACCAGCCTGGGCAACATGGTGAAACCCCATCTCTACTAAAAATACAAAATTAGCCAGGCGTGGTAGTGCACACCTGTAATCCCAGCTATGCAGGAGGCTGAGTGAGGCAGGAGAATTGCTTGAACCCAGGGGCCGAGGTTGCAGTGAGCCAAGACTGCGCCATTGCACTTCAGCCTGAGTAACACAGCGAGACTCCGTTGCAAAAAGAGAAACAAAACAAAAACAAAGGGTCATGTCAGTTGGACCTGGCATTGGCCCTGAGAGGAACCAGGATTCCCCTGTAAGGGGCATGTGAGCATCACCTGAGATCAGATATGGTGACAAAGACCTCCGGGTGCACAGGACTTAACAGAGAACACAGGTGCTCCTCTTGTACCAGTACCTGCAATGACAGGAAAGAACTTGAGAGTTGAGAAAGTACCCATTCATTAGGCCACTGGCCATCAGAGACTGGGTGGCCTGCAAGAACCACAGCAGGTCCTTCTAGCCAGCCCTGATCTGAGGCACCAGACGACTGGCAGCAGGACAGTGGAGGGTCAGGGGTTTATTCTCTTAAGCCAGACCCCAGACCCTGGCTCTGTCTCTACCAGCTGTTTGAGCTGACACAAATGATTTTTATTTTATTTTATATTTTGAGACTCGCTCTGTCGCCATGCTGGAGTGTAGTGGCACAATCTTGGTTTACTGTAAACTCTGACTCCCTGGTTTAAGCAATTCTCCTGCCTCAGCCTTCTGAGTAGCTGGGATTACAGGCCCCTGCCACCATGCCCAACTAATTTCTGTATTTCTAGTAGAGATGGGGTTTCACCATGTTGGCCAGGATGATCTCAATCTCCTGACCTTATGATCTACCTGCCTCAGCCTACCAAAGCATTATAGGCGTGAGCCACCATGCCTGGCCCTACTGACACAAATTGTTTAACCCCCTTGTGCCTCGGTTTCCTCATCTGTAAAACCATAAAACAGTAATACTTAACCGTCATGGGGTGGCTGTGAGTACTCACTGAGCAAACTCATGATACCTAGCAGCGCTGTGTAATTGTTAGTGTCTGTTATTCATCATTTTTATCACCAGTAATTATTTCTAGTTTAGGCATTCTAAATCATCTCTCCACTAAACCAGCCATCTCTTCGATCATGTCTAATATTATTCTGAGTTACTTGTCCTGGAAAAAGAATAATTTTCCAAATTACAAACTGGCAGAGGGAAAGCTGCCTTGCTGTGCTGGAAAAACCTGTGGAGCGATAAGCGGGGGCTTTGGAGCTGGACAGTCCCTGGGCTGAGTACTGGCTCTGCCACTCACTCACTGTGCGGGCCTGAATGTGTCATTTAACTCCGTGTGCCTGCGTTGCCTTATCTGTATGGAGAAAATGAGCTGATGTAAATGACTTTAGCTGGCTGGGCACGGACTTTAGCTGGCTGGGCACGGTGGCTTACGCCTGTAATTCTAGTACTTTGGGAGGCCGAGGTGGGTGAATCACTTGAGGGCAGGCGTTCAAGAGCAGGTGCCTATAATCCCAGCTACTCAGGAGGCTGAGGCAGGAGAATTGCTGAAACCTGGGAGTCGGAGGTTACAGTGAGCTGAGATCGTGCCACTGCACTCCAGCCTGGGCGAAAGAGCAAAACTCCCTCTTTCCACCATCTTTCC